GGCGGATTGCTCTGCGTGGGCGCATGCAACGCTCCACTGGGAATGCAAAAAAAAAAAAAATAAGAAAAGAAAAGAGGCAAAGAAAGATTGGAAAATGCGCAAGAAATTACATAAATTGGAGTGCATGAAAATGTCGACGACAAAGTTATGAAATCGTTGGGCAAAGATGAAATATGGCATAGATGGGCACAGCATAGAGAAAAAGACAGATTCAAGATTAAAGAAAATAAAATAAAGAAAAATATTTAGATAAAAAAGGTATCCTTAGAACTTGAACATTTAAGAATGCGTTGCCAAGAATTGCCTAACGAAATTCTCATTTCCCCTAGTTTTATTTTCTCACACCTATTTTTATAGTTAAACCAAAAGAAAAGCTTAGCTCTACTTGTGGAAGCCAGCAAAACGTTTACGAATGTTCTCTTGAGAGAGCAAAGGCTATGAATACATAAACATATATATGTGTGTGAATAAGTGTGTGTGTGTCACGTAGGCAGCGTATGCATTAAACTCGACTCACACAACACATATTAACTATTCAATTTGGTCTTGTCTCTCAGTTGTTGATCCAATTGGAACTGTTGCAACTGGTTCAAGTGTAAACATGACAATTACTACTTATTAATATTCCCACATATGTTCGAAAACTAATGAGACTTTGCACTCACAGCTGTTAGCTTTACTTGAGGTTCTTATTGGACTGTAGGGCGCAGCAAAGTATACATAAAAAAAAAAGAACATAGGAAATGACTGGAACTGGCATTGGACTCTATAAATAACATCAAAGTGCATTGCAATGCACGAAATGCAAGGCAAGAAGGGATTTACGAGCTTGATCGAAAACAGCCCTTTGGCCCCAAAAGCAAGAAACATGCAAAGTAAGAACAACAACAACAGCAACAGCAACAAAAACAAAAATAACAATAATAATGATGACGATGAGTGGCACTTTGGAGCTGGCAAATGCCAGGAAACTGGCAACGCGACGTCGAAGTAAAAGTAAAGAAAATTATAAAAAGCAGCGACAAGAGGAAGACAAAGATACGCGGCGGCTAATAATAGAAAATGCATGAGAGTCAGTGTTAAGGCATTTGAGAAGAAACTAATTCAAAGTAACAAAAACGGAGACAACGCCTTCAACTGTGCGACGTCTCTTATTTGAATGTTAAGGTACATGTTAACTTAAAGTTAACATACTTATGTAAACTCAATATTGTCATATGTACTCACTGCAACTGTTATTTGTATGTTACGGATGATGTTAACTTAATGTTAACAGTAAACGAGAATATAAAATATGTTTACTCTCTGCTCCTGTTATTTGTGTCTTTTATTTGTATGTTAGGGCTCATGTTAACTTAATGTTTACATACTTATGTAAACGAAAGAGTGTCAAATTACTGTTATTTGTTAGCTGTTAATGCCTTGATACAGATTTACTATTGCAGCCTAGAAGCTTAAGACTTAAGAATATATATCTTTTCATTGCCAAGTAAACTGTTATACATAAGAGTATTTAACGGTTTTTTTACAAATTAGAACTGGCAGCGACCTCTGTACTGTAATTTGTATATGCTAAGTGTTCTAAACGCTTTACTAAGAAATAAATTTCCCGTTAGAAGCTCACAGTTCACATCTTGAAATAATTATATGAGTAGCATATTTAATATTAATTTGTTTTTTCATTAAAATAACAATAACAAGCGGAAGAAAATTTATATATTAGCATAATTGTAAACGAGTGGGAAAGCTGTTAGGCAAACACATTCAACTTCCACACACGCGTCACCTGTTTGCCGTGTGTCCACAAAGCACACACACACACACATACAGATCTCCTAGTAGCTGTGCGTGTAGCGTCCATTAGCCATGTGAAAAGTTCATTTGCCTCGTCTCATAATTTGCCGCTTGCATGTTGCCAGCAAAGCGTCAGCGTCCAGGCTAGGGGCCAGTAAACGGCCATTGACGCCACCCGCCTGCCGCTGCTTCTAGTCCCGGCTGCTCAGATTACGAGCGAGAGTGGGCAAAAGGGGGACCGGGTCGAGTGCGAAGCAAACACTCGGCAAACTCAAGGAGTTGTTGTTACTCACTTCGAGGCTATTTTGAGACATGGCGACGCGTCGCCAAAGTGCAAAGCAGCCACAGAAGGCCCCACCTCCTCCTTGCTCTATCTAACTCCATTTGCCTGGTCTATTCGCATTCCCATTCCCACTCCCAGCTCGGCTGCTTCTATTTGCAGCAATTGACAGCTCCACTGAAGCGGCAGTCACTTTCCCAGCGGTATCCAAAAACCATATCCAATCATATTTCTTCTACTGCTGCCACCCGAAAAGTATCTAATTACGGCGTGTCATATAACTTGGACTCTTACTCTAGTCGAATTCCACTGTGCGCCAAAGGCAACGCCTCCCACAACTGTGCAAGCTGACAGATGCACAGTGTGCTAAGGTCTATGAAATATAAAGTGAAGCCCCATTATCTATATCTATAGGTAAGCATGGCAACAGTTGGCCAGTTTGCCAAAAACAAACAAAAAGATAATTATTTTCATTTTCGATTTGAAGTGCATTCTTCCCTTTTGCTGTAAGCCTTATAACAAATTATATAATTTTGAACCAGCGAGTCTCCGAATGCTGGTCCGAGACACATACCCAAACAAAACTATAATTAAAAACTATAATTATTATCGTAGAAATCCATTTTTTTCGATTTTAGTTGCATTATTGCCTTTTTTTCTGACTAATAACAATTTTTTTTTCAATTTGAACCAGCAACTTAACGCTTGCTGGTCCGACGCTTAAATTTTGAAAGCCTTATTCCACCACTTCTGAATTTTACCTCACTTAAGATGAAATGAGTTTCTACTAAGATTTTATACTTCTAGCGCTTACAGCTTGGGCCAGACGTTGCTCATCAGTCAGTCAATCAGTCAATCAAGACAAATATGTGTTTTAATTTGTGGTTTGTCCCACTGTGCCGTGTCGTCAATTGGCAACGATGTTAGTCGCATTTGGCTTGTGTGTGTGTGTGTGCGTTTGCTTGTGATTTCATTTTGAGTTCGCGGCTGCCATTCGGTCTGGCACAGGCCCTGAGATCGACCTGGTCGCGACTGGTGACTGGCGGCTGGTGACTGCGGTTGCTGGCTTGTAATCTGTATCCCAGACACACAATTTTACAATGTAATTTTGTAATTGCAACAACAACAACAACAACAACATCGGCGACGACAATTGCATCTTCTGGGCCTGCGCTGCGGATTTTTGTATTCGATTGCAATTTGGTTGAATAATTTCGTGTGGGAAATTTTCACGAAAAAAGTTGCCATTTATGTTGTTGTTGCTCTAAACCTTAAGCCCAGCGGCTAGTATGCTGCTCACGTATAATTCGGCCAAAGTTTTATTTTATTTTTCTAAAGTTTTTTCTTTCTACTTTTGTTTACTTGCGAGCAGCTGACAACTGACAACCAGCTGATAAACAGCGCAAACGTGATAATTTTTATTTTATTTGTTTTGTTTCGATATTTAATAGCTTGATACGCAATGCCTAGCCTCTAGATATATTCCTCATTATAATCTATTTTTGTTTTTCTAAATAATTCACACATTATTTTCATGCACTTTCTTGCGTCTGTTATCAAGGTTACTGTAGAAATTAAATACTAGATATAATGTTTACTCTCTTTTTTTTTGCCTAATACTCGAATTCTGATTGGAAGCGAACAAAGCTGCGCGCCAGCTGCATATCCCGCTCGACGCGAACTGCAATCTGTGACTCAAAGCGGTCACATAATTGTGCGGGACTCTTATCAGTCGCCTCTGTTAGAGGGCTCGTAATACTCATAAAAATGATTTAAAGCTATAAATAAATAATTATAATTGCAAACAAATTGCAGTACATTAACTACAACAACAACAACAACAGCTTTATAGGAAAAGCTCATGAACTGGATTATTCCTGTTCATATGAACTACGCGCAGCAGAGATGAAGCTGAGTGCAGTCCAATTAGAATGGGTGCCAATTGGAAAGCACTTTAATTGATTACTTTTGAAGAGCTTTTGAGCAGCTTAATGAGTTGTGTGCTGGCAGGTGCCAGCTAACGGGTACTTTCCAATAAGATAATGCCAATTGTAAGCTGATTAGCCCACTATAAATCTTAATGTGCAGCCCCCCCGGCAGCGCCCACTCGTTGCGGTAGGACATAGCAACAGGAACATAAAAAAGCCATTAGAAAGGAGCACAAAATAAGGGAAAAGGGAAATGTTGCAACTTGCCAAGGCAAACAAATAACCGAATAAGGGAAAATTGTGTGTAAAGGCGAAATAAAGAAAGGAGGAGGAAGGATGTCAAATAAAATGCGTGAACGAGGAAAACAACGCAGGAAATGTCTGTCGACTAGTTTCTGCCAGTGGGAGGATGGGGGGTGGTGGTGGTGGTGGCCTTTGTTGTTCTTGTTCCTCTTTCAACCACTGTTCAGCAGCAGCAGTAGAAGGGTGCGGGTGCGGGGGCGGAGGCAGCAGCAGCAGCAGTCGAAACCGCCCTCCAGAAAAATATATTTCTGAAATTCGTTTCATTTCTTCGACTGGCGCGTGGCTCGCGTGTGTTCTGTTTGCTCTTGTAAACAAAAGCGGGCGACAGCAACAACTACAACAACAACAAGTATGAACAATGCCGGCTACAACAACAACTCTAACAACAACAACTCTAACAACAACAACAACAACAGCAAGCAAGCGCATTCCGCTCTTCTGATAAACGGAAGCAATGAAAACTAGAAATTGGCTCAATCGGAGAACACGGCCGCCCACAGAGTGCAAAAGGAGCAAGTGAGAGAGCGAGATAGAGAGAGAGCATGAGAGAGCGCTGTCAAATGATAAAATTATATACATGTATGTGTGTGTGTGTGTGCGTGTGTGTGACAGTGTATACACACAGTAAGTGCATTTGCGTGTCTGTGTTGGTGCACACACACACACACACACACAGAGACAATTGCTATACTCACCATTGTGTTCGGTAAATATGTTTAAGCCGACGCTGGGATTGCAACGGTTATCCTTGTGATTCGCATTCGAGCCGCTGCGATGCGCCGACAAGCCGCTGGAGCCGCTCGAGCCGATGCTACCGCCATGTCCCGCCGATTGGTGGGATTTGATGCGCGAGCTGCGCAATGTGGAGCCAGCGCTGAGGGCGCCAACGGAAGCGCCGCCGCTGATGCAGTGCGGCGAGCCGGATGCAACGGGACTGCTGCTGGAGACGCCGATGCAGCTAACGGTGCCGCCATGTCCGCCACCGCCGCCGCCACCCCCGCCGCTCGAATGGGAGCCGCGCTCCTTGCCCTGCTGTGCGCCCATCCTTCAATCACATGCACTATTATTTATTTATTTTTTGCACAATTTCGTTTCAGCTGCAGCTGCAATTTTTATTTGTATTTCTATATATATATTTTTTTTTTTTTTAAATATATTTTATCGCGTTCGCACTTGCTTTATTTTAATTCGCTGCTCTACACATTTTCTTTCGTGCGTCGTCGTCTCTTTTCTTTCTTTTACGAGATGCGCTCTTTCGTGCTCCACTCACACACACACACACACATACACGCACGCACGCACACGAATCGCTACTCCACTTTGCGAATTGAGAGTAGACAAAATTCAAGGATGTTGCGAAATTGCCAATCAGATTTTTCTTTCTTTCTTTCTTTCGTACGCAACAATTTGTGGCGACAATTAATATTTGGTTTGCGCTTGGCTCATTTTATATATGTATATGTATATATTTGATGTTTCATTTGTTGAGTGCGCCAGCCTGTTGTGGGGTAGTTGGAGTGGAGGGGGTCTGGCTAGGGCTTACAAACACGCCCTAAAATGCACTTTGTCTACCCGTCTTACGTCTTTTGCACTGCTGCGTCTGCGTCTCGTGCGCTGCGCTGCGCTTCTCACATATTTCGCATTTGCAGCGCCCTGCAGAAATTGTAGTTCGTTTTGTAGCTGGTTAACTGCAGCTTTCAAGTTATCAATATCTTTGCATTTTTCCAATTTACACACAAACACAAACACACACAGAAATGAACCACCCGCACGACACTGCGTTGTCGACCGACTTCAATAAAATTTTCAAGACGACTAGCTGCTAGTGTGACCATACGCGACTAGAGCATAAATAACCGAACTGCATTTGTGTGCGCGCAGCCAACATTGCGTGCGCTCCGAATTGCGCGCAGCCAACATCAAGTGCGTTGAACAAGTGCGCGCAGCCGACTTCACGTGACTCTCGAATATGTTCAATTTAAGTAATCGAACTAGTTCAGCCGTATACAACACTACACAACTCTTCGAGTCACACCGTTCAGATATTCATATATAGATAGTTCTGGAATTTGTTAGTTTTAATTACAAAATAGTCATATATATTCAGATTAAGTAAAGCATTAACAAAGCAGTCAATGTAAGTTGTTTGAATTCACATAAATGTGCCGCACGCAATATGCTACACGTTCAATGTTTGTTTCATATTTACCCCATAAAAATATAAGATGTCGGACTGGGATACGGTAACCGTTTTAAGAAAAAAGGCCCCAAAGTCTAGCCAACTGAAGACCGAATCAGCTGTGAACAATGCACGCCGCCAAGGTGTTGCCGTCGATACCCAGCAAAAATGTGAGTAAAATAAATGACGGCGGCTCTTCTAAAATTTGTCTACGGTGTCTGCGTGCTATGGACTCTGTTCGTTTGAGAGGGGGGAAAGGGGCGGCGCAGCTGCAATCAATCCCATGTGTATGGCGTGGCGTTTTGTTGTTGTTTTCGGCGGCTTAGTTGTGTCAGGAGTGTAGTATGCCTGTGTGAGTGTGTACATGTGTGTTTTTGATATAATTTCGCAACACTTGCATTTCACAACCTTTCGAAAGCTTTCCGACTACTCAACACTAATGCCGGCCATTTTAGCTCACGTCTAGAGCTGACCTACTAACTAAATACAGTGAAAGCTCCAACTAACGAACAGCTGACTCTTGCGGCCATCTGCAGCAGCCCAATTATTCAATAACAATATAGTCCTACATTTATTTTGATCAAGAAATTTAATTAGAAATTGAATATCATCAAAAATATTGATAACATAATTCGTGCTATTTTTAAACCAAACTAAATTTTATTATGTAACAAATTGATTGACTCAATTTTCATACTAAGACTGCAAACTGTAAAGTTTGCTGGTTCGGTTCACAGTTTGAACCAACGCCTCACGTTAAGGTTCATTTCGTGAACCTGTTCCTAGTTCACGTGTTGCTCACAAAATATAATATAATTTTTATTTAAACTATTTTAATTATCCGAATAAGTTAACTTTTTATGTTCAGGTTCAGGTTTAGGTTCAGCCGCTTTATCGTAAATAAATGAATGGAATTTGTGCTTCTGTTCTTGTAGCTGCTCTAGCAGGACTAAGAAGACATAAGTAAGAGTGCTCTGGTCGGGAGTAGCCGACTGGGAGATACCCTGAACCCTGTCGCACACACACACACACACACACAGGCGCATACATTTACACACACAGTCTCCTCTAGCTGCACCTCGTCCCTTGGCTCCTCACTATGAGAAATGTCTTGTTGATTTACTTCGGTATTTATTGTCCGATTTTTATGCATTTTTCAGGGCATTTTTATGGCAAACAAATTTGTGCAAATACCAAAGACGCCGCCAAAAATGAGTTTTCATAATTGTACGGGAAGGGCACAGCGGAAAGTATCTAATAAATGCACTCTTCTGGACTTGTCTTCTATACAAGCTCTTATAAGCTCAAAAAAACGGGAATTCGATAACGATTGTTAGCGATTTATCGAGCCAGTTATCGAAGATTTGAAACAGACTTGATCTGCGCGGGCAACAAGAGGAGAGAGAGAGAGAGAGAGAGAGAGAGAGAGGGAGATATCGACGTGTTCTTACAGACGAACAGACAGAGAGATGAGGTAGTTAACTTACCTGTAGATGCTGAGCATACTCCAATTCCAAACGGAGAAGTTAGCCTCCACCTAATACATTTACATAGAACAATTAAAACTTTGTCACCCAATTGAGTTCTGGGTGCGCTCACTGTATGGCATTTGGCATTGATTGGTTGCGATTTGTGATTTGGCTTATTTTTTTGATTCGATTACAGATGGTGCTGGCACCAACAAGCAGCATGTGACCACGAAGAACACTGCCAAGCTGGATCGCGAGACTGAGGAATTGCGGCACGACAAGATTCCGCTCGATGTGGGCAAACTGATTCAGCAGGGTCGCCAGGGCAAGAACATGAGCCAAAAGGACTTGGCCACGGTAACTGAAACAGCAAAACAATATCAATTATAATTGTGTGTATTTAATATGGATATTTTCCAATTGATTTTAGAAAATCTGCGAGAAACAGCAAGTGGTTACCGACTATGAAGCCGGACGCGGCATACCCAATAATTTGATACTTGGCAAAATGGAGCGTGTGCTTGGCATAAAATTACGTGGCAAGGAGCGCGGCCAACCAATAGCGCCTCCCGGTAAAAAGTGAGATGATGCTGCTGCGTCCACTGTTGTGGTCGCTCCGCCTCTAAACCATAAAAATGCCAGACACCAGCAACAACCGGAGTCTGGCGGCGGCTGGAGCACCGTCAGCAGCAGCAGGCGCAAATGAAGCACTATCCGGGAGGCTGTCGCACCAAACAAAATCGGGTTAGCAGCTAACAAAAAAAAAAAAAAAAAACCAACAAAATCACGAGGAGAATGAACGAGTTAATATCTACAACAACAACAACAACAGCAAAACAACCACAATCAATCCAAGCAAACGAAACAACAACAAAACGCATTAAATTCTTTGCCACATTTGCTTTTTCTTTTATTATAAATGCACAACCCACCACCCACCCACCCATTTATTTTGCTGACAAAAATTCAAACATTGTAATTCAATATTGGAAAACAAAAAAAAAAAAAAACAAACAAACACACACACACACACACACGCACGCACGCATACCTCAAGGGACAATGCACAAAAGGACAGACACAACAAACTGAACTCAGAAAAAGATTTATTATTAAATTGAGTCGCAAACAGCTTGAAATGTTGCGCTCATGGCTAAAATAAATTGTTTTGTTTATTAGTTTTGCTCATTTTGGCATATTTTAAAAAATATACATATTAATATATATACATATATAAATTATTGTTTTGTTTATTGAATACATCATGTTTATGCATTTAAATGAAAAAACATTGAATATATACACACACACACACACACACACACGCAAACAAAAGTTCTTTTAATCGAAAACCAATCCTAACTCTAGATAAGCGAAAATATTGCTCGAACTCTGAACCCAATCAAACTTAGGCTCATCTTGTGGTTGTTCTCATTGAAAAAATTAAAAAAAAAATAAAAAAATACATTAAATATATTTAACATTCATATGAAATATGCATGCATCATAAATACATATGCCCATGTATGTGTACTAATTTAGAGCTTAGCCGATCCTTTTTGTAATCTATCATATATTATATAATAATGCCCAGTTTCTGGGCTCTTCAAATGTGCGTTTACTTAAATACACACACACACACACGGACACACACACACACATATAAACAAGATATAAGTATTTTAGCAACATTTTCTAGTCTAGTATTACAAATTATTGCGATCTTTTGCTATTGCCACATTTTGGAGAACTAACTTCATTGCGTAAAATTTATGCAATTAAAAAAACTAAAAAAAAACACTTAAAAAATTAATAGTATATGTATACATGTATGTGTAGTAAAACATTTTCCGAAGCAAGAAAATAAATGTTTTTTTCCCCTCACACATCATTTACGTGAAATTCAAATCGGTTCCAAATAATCGAAAATCGAAATCGGAAATTAAAGAAATATATTCTTTGAATTATATATATTTGGTCAACTTTGATTTCACAGCCTCCGCTTCGAAAACTAAACAATTGTCACACACGTAAAACCTCTTTGAACTGGAGTATTATATAGCTTAGAACTCAGTTTTGAATAGTTTTTATATTAAAACTTGGCATGTGGCTTTAAGCAGAATTTTAATTTTAAGATCGGAACTAGATGGAACCTATTTGCAGACCTAGGAATAAGCGCTGAAGTAAATAAGTTTTTGGTAGAAAAGTCTAACAGGCTTCAAGGTTCGAACCCGTCGACGTTTTACACTTTCAAAGCTTTGTAATTTTTATATTCAAAACTTATACGAATAATATTTGAGGTATATTTGAGCGAACAGTGTTGCATAAGCTGTTAAGATGCGCCAGTGTAGTTTCCTTTTGGTTAATTAACCGTTTTTAAGCATTTAAAAGAGACATTTTGGTATTTAATCAAAAACTAATCTAATTGTCTCATTAAAATTTCTGATTCAGCCGTTGCGCAGGGCAAGTTTAAATTCTAATTGGAGCACTAGTGGGATATGTTATTCAGCTGTTATACATTACCCTAAGCGCTGTTAAAATTTCCCTTACAGCAGCGCGCACATAAAATGTAAGCATGAGACAAAGCTGACAGACGGATTTATGTTAACTGGCTTTTTTCTGTACATGTTAAGATTCCAATTGAAATAATAATGAATACTGTAACTTACTGTAACTGTTAAAATTCCCCTTCCTTTACCATAGAATGTTAGCATGAATCAAAGCTGACTCAACACAGACGGATTTATGTTAACTGGCTTAGTTCTGTGCATGTTAAGATTCCAATTGAAATAATAATGAATACTGTAACTTACCTGTTACAATTCACGTACAGCGCCTTTATACATCACAGGGTGTTTCTAGTTAGTTGAAAATGGAGCACAATAAAACAAAACACATTTCCGTTTCCTTTTTCCTTTGTTACATTTTATTTATCCGTTGTTTTTCTTAGCTTTTCATCAATTCTCTTTACTTTCTTTACTATATTACCCGACAAAAAATTCAATTTGTTCGCTTAATTTTCTTTTGTTGTTATCTTGTTGAATTTCGTTCACATTTTGACTGGCTCGCAGAATTACGCATGCGCAATCCGCTACGCTGCAGCTTTCTCATTACTCTCATTCTCTCTCTCTCTCCCTCTCTCTCTCTCTTTTGTTGTGTGTGTGTGTGTGTCTCTTTATCGATTTATCATGATCATGCATCGTTTAGACTAAATTAACTTTTCAAGTAGGACTTTTTGTTTGCTGTTAAACGCTTCTGCTTACAAATATAAATATATAATTTAAACATTTGCTTTGTTTTCTTTGTTTACGTTTATCGAGGACTGTTTGCTGCTGCTTTTTCTTCTTCGCTTTCTCTCTAATTTTTGTTTCTTGTTTTACTTTCTCACGTTTTCTGCTCGCTGTTAGAAACTTTGTTCTGGATCATAAAAATTTCAAAAAATAAAAAATCCAAACTAATTGCACGCCCCTGCACGTTTTATCAAAATTAGTTATTGAATACAGTTTTTTGTTTGTTTTGCTTTGTTTTGTTTTGGTTTTTACTTTACAATAACAATTTGCGCTTTAAATTGAACAAGTTGGGCAACTAATCTATTTTCCCCATTTTTCTTTTTCGCTTCATTCATATTTCGAGTAGAAATCAGTTTCAGCTACATAAAAAAAATACCAAAGAAAATACCAAAAAAATGCGCATTTGCCAACACAGGTTATATATATGTGTATATATATTGTGTATAGGTATATATATATATATATATATAAATATATATATGTGGGTAAGTATTCGTAGGGATAACTGAGCGGCGGTCTGAACTCAATTTGAGAATGTTTCTATATATATATGTATATTATATTTTTCGTAATTTCCTTTTACAGTTAAAAAACAAATGAAAACTAGAGAACTTTTGGCTTAAACTGCAATATCAAAAGAAAAAAAAAATAAACGCTATATATAGCATATATAGGCAGAGGAAAAGGTTTTTACATTCCATAGCTAACTTTTTACAAAAACATTCATCGGAATTGGGCTGCGCTTCGAATTTCGATTTCATTATGTACATGACGTTATATAAACATATATTTCTGGAAATTTATATATATATATATATATATATATATTTATGTGTTTGTTTTAGTAAGCCAGCCGCCTGGTAAAACTCTACGCTTAATATTAAATTTATCGAACGCCCCTCGTGTGCGCCTGCTGTCTCGCTCTAACTGTTTGTGTCGGCCCTTTTTAAAATTAAAAAACAACTTTTACACCTCGGTACTGCATAAATAAATGTCCTTAGCCTTTAGTTGGTTGGTGACGGGGGAGTGTGAAGGGGGGGTTAGGTTTGGGGGGGGCGCTTATAGTGTGGCTCTACTGCGCCTTAGCCTTGCGCATATAGGCAGCCTGTGCATCCTCGCCAACATATTTGCCGGACAGACTGGAATCGGCAACGGATGCCGTCGGGCCATCGGCCAGCTTGGCGGTATTCTGGGCAACCAGGGAGGCGGCCATGCGACGGCTCTTGTGTCCGCCGGGCGACAGGTACGCCTTGTAGAAGAAGCGCGCGAACAGCACAAAATAGCTGAAGTACATGGCGATCGATAGATTGATGTTGCGCTGCGATATATTGCACGATTGGGTGCCGTGCGTCTTCAGGAATCCGTTTGCCCACACATTAATTGCACAGCCAATTATCATTTGTGTCAGCTGCAGCGACGTGATGATCATCGAGATGAATCGCGGCGGATTGAATCGGGCCGCCTTCAGTGCATAATAGCTGTACATCACCGAATGCACACAGTAGTTCATCACAATGAACCAGCGTGCGGAACTAGTGTATTCCGTATAGCTGAACCACGAGTAGATTAGCACCGTAATGTGATGATACCAGTGCAGGAAGATTAGCGGCTGTTTGCGCAACACTATGAATATCGTATCGCCCAGTTCGGGCAGTTTGCTCAGCACAAAGAGCCAGGTCCAGAAGCCGCACACGCGATCTTGTTCAATGTAGCTACAGGCGGTCGGTTGAGACAGAGCGTGGAGGGAGAGATTGTGCAAAATCAGGTTTTATTATTATTGGCACTGCCGCTTTGACCTTGCGAAAATATTCCAATCTCACCTGGGCACACAGACCGAATGGAATAGCCCGTAATGACGCAGCACGTGCAACAGTTCCGGCGCGGTGCGAGCGGCGCCCATTATGCTGAACATCGCCAGCAGCGTGTTCCATATGATCAGCGGTCCACGTAACTGAAATCTGTAAAGATAACACAAGACGTTTAGGCATTAGTTAAGGCAGTTTACAGCATGGGCAAGAAAAGCTTTAAGATCTAAGACTTATGTTCTTTATTATCCATCTATCAATCTGTCTAATTATCGATATATGATCGAAGTATAAAGTTATCGTAATATCCATTTATCGATATAATTATCAATATAGCCAATTACTGATATAACCAATTATCGATATATACATTTATCGCTCTGTCGAATTATCGATATACCCAAATATTGTTATATCAAATTATCGATAAATTTATCTTATTATCGATACATTAATTTATCAATATATCCAATTATCGATATTTTCAATTATTGATATACCGAATTATTAATATATTAGTATAGTAATATCCAATTATCGTTATATCCGATTATCGATATATCCAATTATCGATATATCCAATTTTCAATCTAGCTTCATGATTTTTTATATAGTTTCATATTATTTCTATATGTTAGAGAACTGAAGATCGAAAAGACAGTGCCCGACAGTATAAATCATGCCATAGGAATTTTAAGTCAAAAATCCTAGCACAATCTCATCAATATCCGCTTGCTATATCATAATACACTTGTCGTAGAAGCTTTATGGAATGTTTTTTCTTGTCAAACTTTGCATATTAAATATTTCCCGACATTGGAAACATCCCTAGGAAATTGTCTGTTTTAAAAATGGAACCTAACTGCACAGACGACATCTGAAATATTCTCGAATTGCAAGTCTCGTTCTCGAGTCGCTTTGTCTGGGAGCTTCGTCATAGATTGGCTTGGTTTTATTTTTCAGACTGTTTATGAATATGCAAATTTGCATTGCATAAACCAAAGATCAACAAACTTTAAAGTTAGTTAAGGGCGGGGTGCTTAGCAGGGGCGGGGCTGACGTCAAAGTTTAAGTGTTTTTTAAAAAATCGAGAAACAACAAAAACAATGCCAAAATGATTTGTCAGTCAGTCAAAGGCAATCGCATTGACACTTCATCGAGTGTTTATCATTAGCTAGAGATCAAGTTTATTTTGCTCGACTCGAGTCTCCAATTTAGTGTTAAGCCTCAAGGCCCCTACACACACACACACACACACACACACACATATATATATATGCCCATATATTAATTACCTATGTCAGGCTAATCGTTTGGGATTGACACGCAGCCTGCTGATGACACAAGATTCTCAATTCAGTTATCAGATCACTCGCTGCGTTGCCAATATTATTTGAGAATCGACAAAAGTCTAGAATATTGCGCAATTTAGGCGTTACGATCGGATCATAATTCCCGCTGAATACCCTTCACGAAGGACAAGCTACACAGATTAGAGGCTGGCTTTCATTTAGAAACATAAATGTGAATTAATGATCAATATTAACTGATCTGCATGATCATGCTGAGAATTGATCAATGCAGATGCTGATGCTGATATGGAAGCAGCTTTTAACGGTTATATATTCTGATCTGCAAGATAATTCGAAGATCCCTTCAGACAGATCATGAATCAAAGCTGCGACTGCACATCCTTGAAGAGCTTTATAGGCAGAAACTGATCCTCATAATCTAAAGTTAAGACTCTGATCGATGGGGTAGATCTAGCTGATCCTCTTGTTAAGATTTTAATTGTAAGACTAAAATATAAGGGAACTTATCGTTAGAAATAAAGGCAGCTGGTATTGATCCTCTCGATCATTATGTATAGAAATATAATACTTGATCTAGCAGATTTCTTCTCTATCGATCAATTTCCTAACGCAAGACTCTTCCTAGTTCCGAGCTGTATAGAAATATGCTAGATCAAGTATTATATTCCTAGTTCCTAGATCGATAGATAGGAATCACCTATCATTGTGTCTTTTGCTTGATCTTGAAACTTTCTATAGAGATCTTCGCTTGTAAGCATTAAACGTTGACGACCAGAAGAACCAGCTGTCATTATTCTGATCCTCCTGATCAATGTGTGGTTTTATATCTTGATCATGCAGATGTCCATAGAGATCTTAGGGATCATATCTTCCGATTACTTGATCTGGAAAAATTCTAATTGGCTTCCAAATCTTAAGATGTACTAATAAATCCCAATTAGACGATCCATTTATTAATGTAGGGAAATCAGGATTACGATCTATAGAATTGTATATGTATCTGAGGCACGTGCTGTAAATGGCAAGGCATAGTAATTTATGTTTTTATAACAATCAATTCAATTTCTTTTACGTTAAACTTGCCCGGACTGAGAACATGTTTTGCATTTCCAATGAGCTCTGAACTGTTTTATTTGCTATGCGTTTTTAATGTGTGATCTGTATATTTCTTGAGCAACGCGTAAATGCGTCGACATGTAAAGTGTATGACTCAAGGGCGTGCCGGGTCTGACTGGGAAATGACTAAGTCAATTAATCGGCTAAAGATTAAAATTAAATATTAGACGGGAGTGTGCAACGAGCAAATACCCTGTAACATTGCCTCCAGTTGCCAATAGTATTATTTGTACTTATTAAGTAGCTTTTGCTGTGCTCTATTGTTTCTCCTCTAGAATCAACCCTATGAAAAATGCTTTCGTAACTAACTTAACTTCGGTCTCCATTGTCCGATCTTTATGAAACTTTCAGGGAATTAATATGGCAGCCAAATGTGCGTTAATACTCAAGACCAAGAGCTTAGCTTCTAAAAATTGTTATTTGTACATTTTAAAGGGAAAGGATTAAAGCTATCCAAAAAGTAAGATGTTCTTAATATGTGTGTAATATACGCGCATCGAATGCGGATTCTTGAGTTCTTGTAAGTTATCAGGAGCAACTTTATGGGTTCGGACAAGCCTCTCCCGGCTTCTTACATAACATTCGCTCAACTTGCTTTTTCAAACCATTTTCTATGGATTTGACAATAAAATAAAGAATAATCCATATCAGTCAACGACTCAGCCAGCTGCTCATCATATCGCTCGCATTTCGTCAAATGCAATAAAAATACAAGTTCAATAAATATTTCTTGCAATAGTCTTGACAAAAAAAAAATAAATAATTAATAACAAAGTGGGAACCTTATCACGCCAGAATTAGTCATAAAAATCACTATATAATGTCTGGCTAAAAAAAAAAAAAGCCGATAACCGATGACGGTGTACGCGGAATGTGGCGTGTTAAATGTTTATTCATATATGTATAATCAGCAGAAAATAAGACAGCTTGACTTGTTGGGTCGAAAGATGGCACAAGCTTTTGGGTCGTAGAAGAAAAAAGTGAATGCAAATTGAAAGGCCCCTGCATTAATATGCAGACATACAACAATAGATAAATAGCCAAACACATCTATACAGCAAGTGCATAAAGCTTAGCAAAATAGATCAACTATCATAAATTTCCCCAGAAGTTGACAAATTGTTTTTTGTTTTACCGTTCAAAGTCTACAGAAAATGTCAATTTTGCGTACAGTTTATGGCTTGGGCTTAAGTTTATAACAGTACTTGTGTTATCGATAACATTAATTAGAGATTTTGCTCAAGCATTACTCAACACTAATAAGTATTATTACTGTCGCGGGGCATCAGAAACAATCATAGCTGCTGCGTTTCGGATTAATTGAGGCGTGAAAAAAATGTTGCTTGATATGCATGATTTCCAGACATTGTCTATATAGTATATATATTATATATACATATCGTAGTGCTAAAATTGTCAGAGTTAAGAGAGCTCGTAGACATAGACACGAGGCGCACATGCCTAATGGACAATTAGGCTGCGTATGCTGCTCGCTGTTCGCCGCTTTTATTTCAAGTGGAAACGTTTAATTCGCAACTATGTTAAATCTAGATGCTGCAGCAATTTAGCGGCAAGCAGAAACGAGAAAAACAATTTGTTTTTATTTAAACGAATCAAGCAAAGGCGCGTTGTAAGCAGCCGCATTAAACGACTCGACACGTCGATGCGCTGCTGTTGGGAATTTTAACGTTTTACAACCCTTAAAATTCACAAACGGTTCTGACGCAACGCACAAGACTCGCGCGTTGGCCACACTATACAAATCGTGCCAAAACATTATGAGTAAGGAAAACCAATAGGCCTTGCTAATCGCTTGGCAGTTTGGCTTCTAGGCAGAGGGACAACCGTTCCTTGAAGCTCAATTTTTGCTAGGGCACAGGTCGTCCCCGGCGCAAATGCGTAGCGGCGGACCGGCGCCTACTTTGTGTCCGGTTTGCTGCTGTGGCATTTTGGGTGAAGCGATCTGCCCGTTAAGTGATGCTTGCAGAGGGGGGGAGGAGAGCCTAAATTCCAATTAAAGTTTCACTTTGATGCGTTTAGGGGGAGGGGTGCGCAGCAAATATGCGAAAATTGCATAAGCAGCAAGAGTAACGAATGAGAGCGAGCTGGCCAAAGCGCTCTCTTGCTTTTCTGGACAGTGAGCGAAATGGAGAGAGAGCAGCAGACAAGTTGGGCACTAAACCAGATTTTGCAATACTGGACTTTTTAACGAGATTATGCAAGCTGTAAACAAATAAAAAGTGAGAGAGCAAAAGAGAGCGCAAACGTTTGATGAACCAAAACAATATCAAATGCTTGGGCCAGTTGAGTTTTTTTTTTTTCTGTTTTCTTTTTTTGGGACTTGATTTATGCAGTTCCAAAAACACATATACACAAATACATGTGTAGCTTTTTATTGTAAATATGTGTATAATAAATAAGCATGTCTGCTGTTTATGGCTGCTTTGCACTTTTGTTTCGTTTGCCTTTGGGCCACAAATTCGCAACATTGTCTCGCTGTTGACGGCATTTCCATTTTTTGGCTTTGTTGTGTTTCTCTCATTTTAATTTGGCCAACATTTTGTTATTGTATTGCAACACATTTGCGGTTTCCCTGTTTTATAGTTACTGTCAATTTAGTTGCTGTTTTTTTTTTTTTCTTTTTTGCATTCATTTTTAATTTGTTTATACATAATTATTATGCCCGTCTGAATAAAATTGCATATGAGATGACCCATTGACCAACATAATTTTTCGCTTAGCGTTATGTAATTATTTCACGGCCAGAGTTAAATGATAGCATTAATCTCTAACTTTTTGGGATTTTTGTTAACATTTCCAAACCCTCATTAATTTATTGCCATTTAATTACACTTGAGCTATTTTAGGTACTGATTTTATAAGCACTTTGGCAACAGGTGTGTGGCAAACAGGTGTTTCTTATTTTTTTTTTTTTAGATTAAAATTCAAGTAATTTCCATTAAAATTCTGTCTAGCCTAAGATTGTGATTAAGCCGTCTTATCTCAGTGCTGCCGCTTTGGCTATATTTTTGTTTAGCTTAATTTGGCTATTTTTAGATGTTAAGCTATTTTTTGGCACCCTAATGTCAAAAAATCGTGTGCAATGAGCGCTAATAAATCTAATTAGGCTAGTTTTGGTATTTTAGTATTTTAGTACTTTGGTTTTAGTTATTTCTTTAAAGCGACATTTGGCAACACTGCTTATCCAATCCTTCAGTTTTTGCCCAGCATCGTAATTGTGTGCACTTGTAAATAGTTTCTGCTGCTCATAACCGTCTTTGCATACAAGAAGAAACGAGAGAGAGAGAGAGAGAGAGAGAGCGAGGAAGAGAGAGAGCTTCCAAAATGCGACGCATATGCAGCGCATTCTGTGAAATATTTAAAGGTCAGCAATGCGCAAAATTCGTAGAATGACCGAAATGCGAGCAGGTGAAGCAGCAGTAACCAAAAAGGTAAACAAGGTGAATTTATGCCGAAAGTAAAAGTGTAAAAATGTGGCGTGATGGCGTTGACGATCGCGCAGATGCTGCAAATAAGGAGAGCGTGAGAGGCGAAGGGGGAGCAGAAAAGAGAGAGAGAGAAAGAGAGCAGAGTGCGTAGGCTCAGCTCGCGATGCAGACGCAGGTAGACAGAATCGAATTTCTGCTTTGATTACATTTCGGGCTACTGTTGTTGTTGTTGTCGTAAATATTTGAATGACTCACTTTAGTAAGATGCTCTCTCCCTCTCACCCCCTCTCTCTGGCACAAAGTTGTCACAGCTAACGGTTTTTTCTTGTGCCAACCTTTAAAGTTTCACTTTTTCTCATAGCATCTGAATTTATTGCCGCGCGCGCATAATAAAATCGAAATATACATATGCATGTGTGTGTATGTATGCGTGTGTGTGTGTGTGTATGTAACAGTTATTGTTGATGTTGCTTGCAAGTGCTTTGCGGTAATTATTTTGCAGACACGCCCACTCGACACGTTATGTCATGTCGCACAATTATTTATTATTTATTTACCACTAGATGAGCTGGGCGGCCTTAGGGCGAGAGCTTTCATTAAAATTCATACAACATGCAATTATTTGCAAGCTCAGGACACTGTGCGTGAGGAAAATTTCAGTTACTTGCGTGCTGAGCACACATAAAAGGACTCTCTTTTTTTTCCGTGCTTGGTTAAGTGGGGTTAGAGCTTAAGAGAGGGTATTTATAGGGCAGGCACGCATGTACTTTGTAATTTAACACACACACATGCACACAAACAACTGTTATTGTTTAGTTATTATGTGGGCTGGCACAAAAATAAACCAATTTTCTACAGTGGCTCAGTCAGAATTACTCAGCGTTCTTAAAATGGAAAACTGTTTTTTACCTGTCAAGGTCAGGTGTTGCTTTTTTTTCAACTTCAGTTTTCCAAACATTTTTATTAAGGTTTCTTTTAAATTTCCGTCAATTGCTTTGAACTAAACGAAAACATCCATTTTCCACTCTTGACGGCGGAACTATAGAGTTCCGTTGACTAAAACTTGGTCGATTCTAATTGGAATATCAATGCACAGTCTTAATTTGTACTGACTGGAAAAATGAGCTTACATTCAGATAATCAAATGAGATCTTTTGGTTGTCAACTTACAAATATCACGTAATATGTTAGGCGGCAGTTAATTAACTCATTGTAATTCAAATGGAATTAACATAGTTAAATTTAACAAATACTAGACTTGCTGTATTTTAAGTATGCCTGGATCCGTATATGGTCATAAACTTTTGCTACACGCTGTCACACACACACACACACACAGCTCTCTCTATGTAGAGAAGAAGCATATCTATCTGTATGTGTGTGATGATGCTTTCCACCCACACACACACACACACACACACACACACACACATACACACAGACAGGCTGTATGTTCTGTATGCTTCTAGATTCTGTGCCCCCATCATTCATATACGGAGAAGCTCACGCAACACGCGCCGAGGCCGCAGTACACAGAGCAACAAAATATTTGCACAGCTCTCGTGTGCGTTTCAGATTTTGTGTTTTCCTTTTATGGTAATTACAATGTTTGCATAACTATTTCGTATACCCTAAAAATGGTTAAATAAGGGTATAATAATTTTTATGAATGACTTGAAATTTGAAATATCTTTATGCGCATATTGCAAATACATAATTAACTTTTATTTTTATTTTTTTCGATATCTCCTATTTTCACAATATTTAATTTAAAAACATGTTTTTTAGGCGGAACTCGGAAATTATAGAAGCTGTTTACACCAAACTTGGTATGTAGTTTTTTGTATGGTAAATAGATTTAGTAGCATGAATAATTCCATATAGATCGGACAAGGAAGACCGATTTTAATCAGGATTTTGGGGCACACTCTCTATATAAAAGAACCTTGAATGCTTGGGGCTGGGTATCTCTAAGTCGGTCACTCTCGACCACAGCACTCTTATTTATTTTATTTATTATTGTTGCGTTTCGCTTGCGGCTGTGTCTGCGGCTGGCAATGCCAATTAGCCTTTCATGTTGGCCAGTGTAAGCGTGCAGCAATGTTGCCATGTGGTAATTGAATGTCCTGCGCTTTGTAAAACCCCAACAACGCCCCACTGCCAGCTGTTGCCAAGCAGCAGGAGACACACCCACTTCTGGCATGTTCTTGTTGTGCCACACACACACGTCCGGTGAGAGGGGAGCGGGGGAGAGGGATTTACATCTACTATATATGTAATTTGAATGGTCGTGCTTGGTGCAGCGAAATGTGGGGTTAACCTGGTGCCGTATTTAAATGACTTTGAATTGACTCTCCAAGTGGAAAACGAGTGTTAAAATATGTAAATGCAGCTAAACCATGTTTACTCGAATAGGGGGAATACACCAAGGTTACCGAAAGTAGATAAAGTTTAAATACAATTTGAATAAAATGAGGTAAATATCAACGAAATTAGAATATGAAAATAATGGTTAATTAATTTTAATAATATTTAATTGAACAAATCTAAAAAAAGATAAGTTCAAAAGAGAAAAAAAAAACTGTTGAAGCTGGCAAAAATTTAAAAAATAACAGACATCCTTAGTTCAGATATCGATTCTAATTGAAATTCAATTAAATAAATTAAAATGATATTTAAAAATTATTTAAAGTTTGGAATAGATAAGTTCAAGGGAGAAGAAAGTGTAAAATATGCACAATAATGCACACATTTTAGAGCTTCTCTAAAGAATTTAACTTTAGGATTTGTTTACAATTGTAATTCAGGAAGTGAATAATTGTTTATAAGAGTCTTTCAAGCATTACATATACTATTTAAGTACAGTAAACACTCGGTCGTAGACAACATTGCAAATTGCGACAAAATCACGTTAAAAAGATGAACTTAATATATTTATTTAAAAAAAAAACAAAAGAAAAAATACTTCAAAACAAGTTTCTGTCTGTTATCATTTGCGAGCGTTTACTGTAGGGGTACATTTTTTTAAAACCTGTGATCGAATTACTATATATAATTTACCCCCATCGTGAATCATGGTAAATGATATCATAAACAATTACGACAGCCAGTTTAATGTTGCTTTTTATTTTTGTCGCAATTTTTTATTTTGCCGGCCCCGAAAGTTGTGTTGAATTCCCCTGATAAGAGAGAGCGCGTTCCACAAGCGGGCGACACGGCGCGGCCCAGCAAATGGGCGGCCCGGGCTGATAACAGGCGCGATGTGCGCGCGTCTCCCCAATATATATATAAATATATGTATATATATATATGTATGTACTTGATCAGAATACCCGGCGTCGAGCGGCTCAGGAGAGATAATGTTGAAAATGCACATGTTTTTTTGTTGCACGTTTGACCTTGGAATTGTCTGCTGAGTTTGAACCAGCGACTTGCTGTTTACTAGTTCAACGCTCGAATATCTAGGCTACACAAAACTTCATATTTAGAACTAGTTTATGATCTAAAGGAATGTTTCTTTAACAATTTAGATTCTTAACGTTTTGTAGAAAGTAGAGCCCATTTTGGGCTGAAATCAAAATCAGAAACCGCAAACGAAAGGCAAATCAGGTGAAAAGTCGCTTGGCTGGGCCAAAGGTTAAAGCTGTAACGTGATAAAAACGAATAATAAAAAGCAAGTGCAGATGATCTCAGAGCGTATTTAATTCCCCCTATTTTTTTTTTTTTATCTTTTGTGTGTTAACCCTTTGCTGACGCAGATCGTTTTGACAGTCCCAGTCCCACGGGCGCGGACGAGGGCGAGTGCGCCTCTGCCCCCACACCAAACCCGGAGTTGACACCTTTCTCAGTACCAAGTCCGCGTGTGTCCATGTGTGTAAATATTGAAACGGCATTTAAAGTGTAAAGCAACAACAACAACAACGACTTTGTATGTATTTACTTATTTTTTTTTTTTTGGAAAAGCCGCAATGCTGTCACCGCTTCAGATCTGGGCGTAGAGCCAAGCCCCTTTTGGGCGGAATCATTGGATTCGGCAATCAAATAGAAGCGTGTAGTCTGTCTCAAGTTGTTTCGAGCGACACGCTTCAGCTTATTATTATATAAGACATTTGATTAAAGTGCGTCAACATAGTTTTTTTTTTTATTTTATTTTTTTCGTTCGGAAGAATTGATGGGCCGTGTGTAATGAGTCGTTGTCGACTTGAAAATTGTGTAATGGCAGACGAAACGATTGCGATAAGAAAGTGTATTAAACGGAGGGCGAATCGAAATTGCAGTAGTTTCTGACAAAAAACGAAACATTTTCAAAGCAATTAAAGATTTCTAGTTTTATTTTAATGGCATAATTAATCTATTTATAAGGAATTATGTGGAAAAAAACCTATGTATATATGAACATCTGGATGTCTAATTTATAGAGCTCAAGAGCTGGAAGGTCACATTTCAGGTCACTTTTGTGCAATTACACCAAGAAGCGTGAGAAACAGGTGAAATACGCATTTAATATTCCACTTCTTTGGGTGAAAAATGAGTGGAAGACAAGTTTAGCAACTTTGCGAACTTAATATTTAAAAAAAATACTCCAAAATGCACTTGTCTGTGTGAAAAATGGGTGGAAATTGAAGAGTTATGTATTTTTTTAGAAAAAAAAAACGAACAAAAATTATGCATATATGGATTTCCAATATATAGAACTCGACAACAGCCAAGTTTCACTCAAAAGAAATTGCTTTGAATTATTTTTTCACTTCTATTCCACAACTCTAGGTGAAAAAGGTGTGGAAATTGAAGTGAAACACTATATACTATATAAAAAATTGCCCACTAAAGTTGATTGCATTTCATTTGTTATAGAAAACGAGATTGATTTAATGCACATCTCATGGTATGCCTAGATATGGATGTCATGTCACCAAACAATTCACGCAGGCAAAGCCAAAGACAATTAGACAGCTTCAATTGCATAAACGCAAACACAACTCACTGTGCAAAATGCGAGGGGACAGCTTTGAAAATTTGACAAAATTGCAACAATTTTCCATCTTTTTTTTTTTGGGTCATTTGGACATGCAACGCGTTTTGTTTGTGTGGATTGCTGAAACTCTGATTGTGAACGTGATCAGGCCCTATCTAGGCGTAATAGGCCATGTGGATTGCTTATAATTTTCTTCAATTAGGGCGTGGCAATGGGAATTTCTAATGAGCGAGAGACTAACGGCAGCTGAAGATTAACAGGCAATCGACAAAGTGAAACTAATTATTTGTTACGTATACGTAATATCGTGTAGAGCCAAACAGCTGTACGGGATTCCATTGAAATTGCACACATGAAAGTGTGCATAAACATCCCATCTAGTACTTATGACATATATATATATATATACATTTATTTATTTATTATTTCTATGCATAAGCGTTTGCAGCAAAGTTCTGGAAGCATTTGCCGTGGCTCTTTGTTCGATTTGTTTGAATTGAGCGTGGGCCTGGGCCTCGGAAATGGAATTCTGGTTAAGCTGCTTGATTATTATTATTATTATTATTAATATGTTAAGCCAAATGTAGCTACTGCATATTACGGCATTATAATAATATAATCTGCATATGGCCAGGCAGATAACTTTTATTAGCAGCTAAGCATTGGGCGCCAAAGCCCACCTGGTCAAAGTTCAAAAGCAAAACGTGTGTACTTTGTGTCCAGAGATAACAACTCATACGAATTTATCAATTATCGGTATTAAATTGACTTGACAACGAACTTGATGCATTTATTAAAGTTAGAGGCATTTAATTATATTTATGACTTGAAGAAATTAGTCGGCTTCACAAGGCAGCACAAGTTTCGCTGGCAGCAGGCGTTGAACCGTCTAGGCAGTTCGACGCTACGCCGCCTCATAATGTCATGTTTGCAACTATTCTTAAGTTTCTTTCATTCAGTATCTCGTTTCAAGAAAATTAACGATTCATTAAAGATTCATTCATATAATGAATATATTTAAAACATTTAACGCTATTCCCTTTCTGCAAGACATAAAATCAATATGTCCATTATAAAGGTGATTTGATGTCCGTGAATTTAAATTGTAGTGGAAATTGTGGGAGGCTCCACAATAAGCAAATGAGGCACACGGCACGCGCCTCAAATTGTTGGAGCTTAGGAAAAACAACAAGCGGCATTTGGGCGCGACAATGGGGCAGCTGAAGGGGGCTGCAGGCTCTCGAGTCTTGGCATATTTTTGTTGCAAACAAATGGACAGACTTTTGACCCATGCCAGCTTTCAGTTTAAATTCCAAAGGAGATACCAAAATGGCCAAAGAGAGCGCAAAAGTTAGTTTAAACAGAAAATGAACGAATTCAGAATTATGCAATGCAAGTCAAGAGCTCTCAATTTGCTACAGTGAAGTCTCAACTAACGAACAACTCGCTTTGGAGGACATATTCCTGAACGTACCTTTATTTAGCAACAGTGAAAGCTCTATAGACGAACAGCTCTCTTTCTAGGGCATCTTTTCGACTGTAATTCTATTTAGCTACAGTGAACTCTCTTTTAACGAACAACTCTCTTTGTAGGGCCTATTATTGACTGTACTTCTATTTAGCTACAGTGAGAGCTCTATAAACGGAAAGCCTTCTTTGTAGGACATCTTTTTGACTGTAATTCTATTTAGCTACAGTGAAAGCTCTATAAACAAACAGCTCTTTTGGTAGGACATCTTTTTGACTGTAATTCAATCTAGCTACAGTGAAGTCTCTTTCAATAAACAACTTTCTTTGTAGGGCCTATTCTTGACTGTACTTCTATTTAGCTACAGTGAAAGCTCTATAAACGAACAGCTCTTTTGGTAGGATATCTTTTTGACTGTAATTCTATTTAGCTACAGTGAAGTCTCTTTCAACGAACAACTCTCTTTGTATGGCCCATTCTTGACTGTACTTTTGCTGCTACTTTTACTTATTGTATGGAGCTACCCTAGCGAGTTTTTACTGTACATGTACACATATGCTACGGTAAACATAAACTCACCTCGGCCGATTTTGCATAAAGTGCTGTCCACCGAATATGACCAGCATGTAAATGCCGCAATAGTAGAACACCCAGGTCCAGTTCTCCAGCATCCATTTGCGTGTGCGCTGGTGTATGAAATCGTTCTCGAAATCGAAGATATAGGAATAGTTGGGCGTTACGCTAATGTCCATGTTGATCATTGTGCTGGCTGTTGTATGGGTGTAGTGGCGCGCGTGTGTGTGTGTGCGTGTGCTTGTGTGTGGTGAGTTTCTATAGAGATTAAAAACAATAGAGGACAGGTATTATAGAGACTTTGTTTAATGCTTATCAAAAATCACTGACATGCACGAGTATTAAATTTGCTTTTATTTTTTTTTTTTCAAATTTTTTTCTATGTTTATTTCTTTTTAAAGATTATAAACTTTATTTGTCTTGACATTAAACTTTGACCCGCGACAAGTAGAAAGCGCGCGTTTCTTGTCTCGCATAAATTTCTTGTCTTTCGGCGAGTGACCTTCCACAGTTGGGTCCATTGATTTTGCATAAACACGTCTGAAGCGAGAGAGCGCGCGAAACATAGAGAGAGAGAGAGAGAACGGAGTGGGAGCGAACGCGGCTGCTGCTGCTGCTCTCTTAACACACACACATACACGCGCACAAAATGCAACTCATTCATGAATGGCGGCGTCGGTGGTTTTTTTCTTCTTTTTTTCCATCTTCTTCCGCTATTCACACCTTCGCCCAGTCGCCAACATGCACTTGTCGCATTAGTGTTAAAAAGCGCCAGGAACTAAGGAGGAGTAGCCGATTGAGAGGTAAGTCGCGCGCGCGACAGTCTGGCCGGCTGCGGTTATTGCTGCTCGCGTCTCACATTCATTCATTCTCTCAATATTTCAGTCGCAGCGCCGTCGCGTGTCTCGTGCGCCCACAAAAAGCTTTGAACAGCAGCCGGAGCAGGCCGACTAAATTAAAATAAAAAAAACTAAAGTGCGCAACAAAGCGGAATGCGAAAAAATATAAAATATCAGCGGCGCTGGCAGGTGCCGGCAGAGGGTTGCCAGCAAGCAGGAAAAAAAAAAAAACCAACGAAATAACAATTAGAGAAACATACATATGCATGCACGTATTTGAATGTCTAATTGCATGCCAGACACGCGACAGTTTGGCTACGCACACGAGCCCACTCACACACACACACACACACACACAGGCACACTCAGGTAATTTCATTTCATTTCGTTAGCAAGTTAAGCTTTGGCGTATCATATCCGGTTTTTTTTTGCGGCCCAACGCTTTCAAAATTTCTAGTGAAATTTTTTGCCGCAAAGGTTTTCATGTGCATGCATGCATACATACACACATATATGCAGGCATGCATGTGTGCGTCTGTCTGTGTGCGCATTTGTATGTTTCATGTTGTCGCACCACCCTGGCAAAAAATAAAGGCAAAACACGCGTTTTGCTTCACATTCATCTTCTCGCCCATTCGATGGGCTTTCATCTTCTCTCATTTTATGCTGAGAGCGCGCCGACGTAATCGATAAAGTACACAAATACGATAAAAATACATGTGGCAAAAAAAGGCAGGAAAAAATTTCCTATATGCCGCCAGAAAGTTACAGTTAATCGCACTCCACACAGCACACTCTCTAATTTATTCAATAAATAGCGCAGATTTAATATTGCGTTTAATGCATTTACTTTTTGCTGTTGTTGTTGTTGTTGTTGCTGTTTGTATTTATGCGCTGGCCAGCCTTTTAACGCACGCGCTACACTTTTTTTTGAATTTGTCCGCTAATAGGGAACTCTCTCTTTGAGCAGCCGGCGTACCACTGAGCGCAGATGACTCGCTGCTTGGTGTATTTAGGTTTTTATTTAAACAATTTACAGACGAGCGCGAGCACCAATACCAGCAGCGCGTGCGGCCTACTCGTTGAGTGGTTATTTTCATTCTGTTAGGCTTAACATTGTTTTTATGTTAACAGTTTTGCAAATGTTAAATGCCAAACGATAGTTACTATCGATACTGCCGCCGCGATTGTTATCGTTGTGCAAGAGTGCACCAGTTGAAGTTGGAAATTTTGAAATGCAGCCCTCGTCAGTCAGCTGTTTTAATGGCTAACATGGCGGCAAATTTAAATTGTTATGAATTTAAGTAAATTTTTGAAAAGCCTAAACCTGTTGTAGATATTTAATGGTTGTTCAATTGGCTTACACAATGTGCATAATGTTAGCCTTTGTTTATATTTAAATACATGTTAGCCTCAACGCAGTGCAAGTATAGTTTTCAAGTGTTAAAAAACACTTCAATGAAAGAAGCCAAAGCGGCCGTTATGAATTTAAATTGTATTCAAGTAATTCTTCAATGTATATTATTTATTACAGCAATTACAAACAGTATATAGCTAACATAATGCATAATTTGTTGTATAAACCTAGCTACTTAATTGATTAATATTACACCACATTTAATTTTTTTTTTTTGCTTAGATTTTTCTTTAACATATACATACATATGAATATTTGTATCAAATACGTCTATATATTTCTCTAAAAAACTAAATATGCTTTTCTTTTTGTTGTTATTCTTTTTTTTTATATTAAATAAACACTGAAACATTTCGCAAAAATTCCGGCACCCCGAAAAAAAACCCAACACATTAACATTTAATCCCATTTGCAAGCTATTCAGGATTGCGTCTGTGGCAACAAATATGCAGCTGCCACTCACCGGCAAATGAACACAAAAAAAAATACAGAGTAGAAACATTGCAGACGCATAATACCGACTGTACAATACTCTGTTTAGAGTTTTCAAATAATTTAAATATGTCCGAATAAGTCTTTCTTGGCATAATATATTCCGGCTTATTTATACTCTGCCGACAAGCCGGCGGCTCGAATCCCATATACCCCGCTTTACCATACAAACAGGGCATAAAAATGTTGAAAATAATTGTAATGTGAGTTTGAATATTTGCTTCATATGGATTTCATATTGCATATTTTTGTCTTTGTTTTGTTTTTTTTTTTTTCAACCAGGTTTTTTTTTTTATGTTATGGCCATGTGTGTTAATGCTCCCTCCGCCCACCGTTGGCCGCGCCCAACGCCAGTTTTCATTATCAATTTCACAAAAATGTTTACAACTTTTTATACACTTTCCGAGGGTATTCCAATTTTGTGACAAAGGGTGTCAAGCCTGGAAGAAGAGTGTCTTTATTCTTGATCAGAATCAAGAGTCGAGATATATCTGTCGGGTTTCTATGCAAACTAGACGCTTAATCTTAAAGCTGTCGGATCGAAAGACTATATCATATAACTGTCCTAGAAATGATTGGTCGAAAATAAAGTTTTTATTTGGAAAACTTTTAAACTTCTCAAGAAATTTTGATCAATATACTAGGAATACTTCCAGGCATCTCCCTTTTCTTTTCAAAATCGGTTGACTATATCATATAGATCACTAGAGATTACTATAACATTCTATATGTATATCTGTAGCTGAAATCGGTCGTAATCGGTCTTTCAAGAAATCTTTAGCAAACTGCCCATTTGCAAGCTACACAATTCTCGTAGAGTATTTAATTTTCGGTGTGACGTAGCTTGCCGTTCTTTCTTGTGTTTTGTGTGTTGGATTCTGGTGGATTTTTGCGTTTGGTCGCCACGTCAACCGCCAGCACAGCCAATTAAGCAAATTAAACAGATTGTTATCCTGTCCAGACAGGACAGCGGGCCGCAGCAGACCCGCCTCCTGACACCAGTTCAGACAACATGTGTGTGCGCACGCTTAATTCAATCAATGTCACATAATTACTTAATTAATTAGATGCGGCCCCGCACCCGCTGCCCGCCCGCCCGCGCCCGATCACACATTCAAATCGGCCATCATTTTGCGAAAATCATTTAGCGAGCCGTACATCTCAAAGTCGCCTCCGTTCCCGCTTCCGCTGCCATTCCCATGCCCGTAGGCCTGCGTCTGGGCGCGTATGTGCGCCGGACGCGGCAGTGTCAGCGGCACCGGCAACAGCTCCGGCATCACGGAATGATGCGTTATCAGAGCACGCAACGAGCTGAACTCCTTGGTGAAGCCCTGTTGGATTAGAAGAGATTAAGAGTGTTTGCATAAGTGGGAACTTTTTGAGACTCTTTCTTACCTTAATCTTGTAGCCCCGCTGCGTGCGGAGTATCAAATAGTGGGCGACGCGCGGCGATGGCGGCGGCACGCGCAGCGACAGGGCAAAGCAGCCCGGCTTGGTGCTGCTCTGGCGCACCAGAAAGGCGCCCGGACTCTGGCGGGACAGCACCTCCAGTGAGATCTCTCTGGGTATGCCCGCCTGATACCAGGCGGCACCTTTCAGCTCTTGCTGCTCGGCCAGGCTCAGGTTGTCCAGGCGCAATGGTGAATTCGCCGCAAACAATTTCGGACTGGAGTTTGCTGTGGCAGAGAGAGAGAGAGAGAGAGAGAGAGAGAAGCTAAATAAGTGGTCTCTTCTTGAACTTTCGCCACACAAACTTGGTCTTCCATTTCCACGTGTGCTAGTGGATTGCTCAAAATATATAGAATACTATTTCGAAAAATATTATCAATCTAGAAAAATTGAGGTTTCAGTCTTAGTTACGTCTCAAATTAATTTGCACATGCTTAACCATAATAAGTGGAATTTCACGTAAAGAGTTTCACTAATTTTTCACCTTTCTAAGTGAAACTTGTGGTTTTCGTTCACCTTTCATCAAATTTGACATCCAGTAAAACTTAAATCCATTTTTTAAATATATAATAAAGTATATGTAGACTTCGCTCATCGTTCACGACATTACACACATTTTTATTTACTGAAAAAAACAAATCTTTCAACAGTTTTCCACCTTTATAAGTGGAATTTGACAAAGATCCGAACTTCAATTAGTTTTTAGGTTTTTAAGTGGATCTGGATATATATTATATGTGATCTTCGTTCACCATTCGTCAAATTTTCACAACTTGATACAAATTCAAATCTAATCTTTTGCAAGTTCTCCATTTTTATGAGTGAAATTTAACATGTATTCACTAATTTTTCACCTTTCAAAGTGAAATTTAATGCGCAATATGAAAATAAAGCACATTTTTGCGTGAAATTTGACAGATAGTCATTTTCTCATATATCGCACAGATGTAAGAGAAAGCTTGCACCATTTCACCCTTTTTTAAACCGGCGCCAACTGAAATTTGATAGATTCTTACCGCTGCACGTCTCACGCAAATATTTCTTGCTGTTGGGCAGCTCCGACTGTAAACGTTGGGTGGCCGTTTCCAGGGCCGTCAGCGATTGCCGACAGGAGTCACCGAATTTGCTTGCAACATATTTATCCGGCTCGCAGATGGCCTCGTTCACATAGCCATCCGAAATGGTCTGCGATGAGCCCGAGTTGAGCGAGGAGGAGCAGGTGTTGTGCACCAGCGGGCGGCTATCCTCGGTGCCGCGCAGCAGTCCAATGCCCATGGTGAGGCGTTTAACCTGCAAATGAATCAAGGGAATGGGCATATTGTTACATATATTTGCATGTCTCGGATTCGTGTTTGGCTGCCAATTTGGCCAGAAAATTGTTGTTGTTGTTGTTGTTGTTGTTGTTGTCGACGCAACGCGATAATTGCAATTTACTTGGCCCTCAACAGTTGCGAAACCATTTTATAATCAAAGTTGCTGTTGTTTTCAGCCTGGCCACAAAGCCAGCTAACAACGAAATCACTTTAGTTTGACAGAACAACAAAACCACGACAATGTTAGTTGGCAGTGCTCGACGAGGAGATACCCTGTACTCAGCTTAGACTAGCTGGTGTGCATGTGCTCTTCTTATGGTCTACAATATAGGCTCAAAAGGATTTACTAATTTGTGTTTATCGATTTGGTAAAATAGCTTCTGTTATCGAAAAAATTAGTCTTGATTAAGATTCTAATTTAGCGCATTAGACTCTTAGAGCTTACGATATGTGCTCTAAAACCTCCCTACCAATGATCGATATTGATCGATTTTGGTAAAGTAGCTGGGGTTTTCGCAAAGGTGAGCCAAATGTGACCCATTCATCTCGTATAGTCTAGAATATATACTCGAAAAGAAAGTGCTTCTAATCGATAATTATCGAATTTTGTGAATTAGCTGAAGTTATCGAACAACATAACAAATTGATACTTTAGAAGAGGAACTATATGGCGATTTTGTTGCATTGTTCTGTTGTAATATAGAAGATATGATCAAAAAGCCGTAGCTATTAATCGATACTTATCGATTTTAGTAAAAATGCTGTGTTATCGAAAAAAATAGTTGAATGATATCTTAAAAAAGGAACCTTATGCCAATTTCATGTATGGTTAAATAGAAGATATGCTCAAAAAGCCGTAACTAATAATCGATAATTATCGATTTTTTGCCTTTGTAGAGCTGCAATATACCCCACTTCAAGTGGTTACAGCGCATGAGAGCAACAAGCAACCGCCTTAAATCGATGTGTAACATTTTTGGTTAGCAATGAAATGTTAACTATGTAGTTGGTACTTTCAGTACTTGGCAGCCCCACAACTTTCCCTTCAAGTTGTTTTCATTTTGGGCTGCGGTAAATTACTTTGAAATGAGTTAAAGCCGAAAGTTTTACGTGCTTTCAGGGCGCCATTTAAAGCGCTTCCAATTAGTCGACAGTTCTGGCCAAGTGTTGAATGCTGCTGGCAGGCGCCTCACCCTCACCCTACCCTGCCTGCCGCCCTCCGCCTTATAAGTTATTTACCTAATTTGTTATAATTATGTTGATTTTATGTAGCTGCCAAAATGGTCGGAGCCAAAATATTCTCTTTTGATGTGGCTGCTTTCAATGGCCGCTGCCTGTTGAACTTCCTGGGCCGTGGGCCCGAAAAGGCAACTGAAGTCCATTTATAAATGGGAATTTTCTATACAAATATTATG